AGATTATCTTCCAAATAGATTTTTATAGCTCCACGAGGATCTTTAAAGACTATTTTGAAAGGACTACAGGACCAAGAATTTTACCTATAATCGAAAAATTCTTAAAGATTATTTTCTAATGATCTTCAGAGGTATAATTGCCCATTTTTAAAAAAAATATTCCAAGGACCTTCAGCGCTAAAATCCCGAGATTTCAAAGATTTCGACCTTCAAAGCTATATAATCTTAATCGTGAATTTTTTAAAGTTTTTTTCCGAGGATTTTTAGAGCTAAAAATGTGGTCAAATACCAGACTCTTCAAATTTTTTATCGTAAGGTGTCCAATAAGAAGGCCTTTGGGTCTTCCATGGGAAAACCCTCTGATCTCCTAAGACAAAATGTTGGTCTTTTTTATGTAGACTTTTTAGTTCAACAACTGAAACAACTGATTCTCTTAAGCAACTCACTCCTGGATTTCATTGAGAGCAACGTCCTGGTCTTCTATAAGAACACCATCTGATATTCTCTACAAAATTCTGCAGGTCTTCAGCGAGATGATCCCTTTCCTTGTATTAAAAGGTTCCTTCCGTCTGTATTGTAAAACTTTTTGAGCATCGAAATATTCTGTGGACACTCCATCTTCAGATCGAGTTTCTCTTTTATGAAAAATATCAGTAACGATATTCTATAAAAAGTCATGCAGGTCTTCATTGAGAAGTTCTCGACCTATTAAATATATATAACACAGCATTAGTAGGCCCCTCAGAGGATGGATATTATAGTTTTGTGGAAAAACCATTCCATTATGGAAAATATCAACTTGGGACTAATATTTCCTATAGAAAATATACACTTAGTTGCCATATAGAGTTGATTCTGTGCTCAGCTGTTTTGCAGTAGGTCGAAATCCTTTCCCAGCTGCTCAGTGTGCTTTTATAATTTTTATTTTTCAAATGTCCACCCAATTCATCCCCTTTACCCATCGAACACTTTCTTGCAACTGCAACATTATAATTCTCAACTACTTTGCAGTAGTTCTGCCGTTGGCCATATATTTTTTTGGACAGAAAAGTTCTCCGAATTACCCGTGCGCTTCGTCCTTTTGTGTGTCATACTTCTGTCGCTTCTTCTTTTCGTACCACTACTGTGAAGTAGCACTTTAGGCAAATGGCCAAAAAAATCGCAAGCGAAAAATATGATGAAGTGGAATGCACGAAAAAAAGAACAAAAATAGTCAAAACAACACCAACAACAAATGCAAGTCAAAACGAATCTAACGTCACATTTAAAGCACCTTTGGCCATGCACCCATCATCAGGACAATGTGGGCCAAGCCAAAAACAAAAAAAGAAACTTAAAACTCAGAGCGACAGAAAGAGAGGGAGAGTCAGTGCAACGTGCCATGAAGTTGCAAACAAACAAATCTGACGAATGGGGGTTTTCCATTGGCCCACAGGGGATGATGTAATGATATGTTCGTGTTATTGTTGTTGTCGCCATTGCTGTTGCAATATTGTGCGAGCGGCAAATTACTGAACTACTTACAAGTTCATATAAATTGAAGAGATGACTACACAACTACATGCAGACAGCTATTGGTTAGGCAGAGTGGTGGTAGTTTGGGCCATGTTCTAGGAAACTGTGCCAAGTCAGGCAACCATCCTTCCACCAATATGCATATACAGGCCTGTGCACTCATACATGTATGCATGCAAGTCTGTCTGTCTGTCCGTTTGATAGTAACCCAATTTAAGACTACGCCAAAATTCAATGTCTGAACATGTGTGTGTGTGTGAGAGTTGTTAAAAAGGTGTTCCGGTTTAGTTTCTAAATTTTCGGTCTAACTTTATTATATTTTGCTAGCTTGCCACCCAGTTTTCCTATTTGTTGTTGCACCATGATGTGTTGCGTATGTTGCGGAATTTTAAGTCTACTCGGGCTTTGTGAACATTTTGGGTTTTTGTGTTTTTGTGTTTCTGTTTCTGTTTTTGTTTTTGTTGTTGTAAAACTAGTCCAATTTTGTACGCAAATGACCCTTGACACCACTCGAGCACTCTCGTAGAACATGAAACACAAAAGTTATTTGAAAATTATTTTTCCAACATCATATTTGCAATTAAATCTCGAGTGTAATAACTTTGCTGGAGAGTACATCCGCAGCAGCAGCATAAATGTCTAAGAAATGCAACAGAAATACTTTTGTGTGTGTGCGTGAGTGTGTGTGTGTAGCAGTGTGTTTATATGTGACCTTGTCACCAATTCAGGTTATTCAGCTTTAATTTGTTGTGGGAATTATTAAAAGCTGGGACGGAGTCGACAAAATGATGGCTCTGCTACTTGGATTTAGAATGCGATCTCTATGGAGAAGAAAAATCAGGTCTTTTACGGAGAAGACAAAGTGATCTTCTCCTAAAGGCTATGAAGAGAGACGACCAGCTATTGGTCTTTTGTGGGGATAAGAATAACATTTGGTCTTCCGTGGAGAGAAATCCAATTGTTCTTCTATGGAAAAGACCACCAGGTCTTCTACAGAGAAGGCCTAGGTCTTATATAAGAAGACCACTAGATTTTCTATACGAAGACCACTAGGTCTTCTATACGAAGACCACTAGGTCTTCTATACGAAGACCACTAGGTCTTCTATACGAAGACCACTAGGTCTTCTATACGAAGACCACTAGGTCTTCTATACGAAGACCACTAGGTCTTCTATACGAAGACCACTAGGTCTTCTATACGAAGACCACTAGGTCTTCTATACGAAGACCACTAGGTCTTCTATACGAAGACCACTAGGTCTTCTATACGAAGACCACTAGGTCTTCTATACGAAGACCACTAGGTCTTCTATACGAAGACCACTAGGTCTTCTATACGAAGACCACTAGGTCTTCTATACGAAGACCACTAGGTATTCTATACGAAGACCACTAGGTATTCTATACGAAGACCACTAGGTCTTCTACAAGGAGACCATTAGGTCTTCTATACGTAGACCATTAGGTCTTCTATACGAAGACCATTAGGTCTTCTATGAAGGGAAGATTAACTGGTCTCCTATAGAGAAGACCAATAACTGGTCTTCTATGGAGAAGACCAACAACTGGTCTTCTATGGAGAAGACCAACTATAGGTCTTCTATGGAGAAGACCAACTATTGGTCTTCTATGGAGAAGACCAAAAACTGGTCTTCTATGGAGAAGACCGAAAACTGGTCTTCTATGGAGAAGACCGACAACTGGTCTTATATGGAGAAGACCCACAACAGGTTTTCTATGGAGAAGACCGACAACTGGTCTTCTGTGGAGAAAATCAACTACTGGTCTTCTATGGAGAAGACCAACTACTGGTCTTCTATGGAGAAGATCAACTACTGGTCTTCTGTGGAGAAGGCCAACTACTGGTCTTCTGTGGAGAAGATCAACTACTGGTCTTCTATTTAAAGGACTAACTGGTCTGCTATGTAGAAAATAACACCTACTGGTCTTCTATGTAAAGAAGAACACCTACTGGTATTCTACGGAGAAGACCAACTACTGGTCTTCTACTGAGTAGACCAGCTTCTGGTCTTCTACTGAGAAGACCAACTACTGATCTTCTATGGAGAAGACCAACTACTGGTTTTCTATGGTCTTCAATGAAGAAGTCCAACTACTGGTCTTCCTGGTATTGTAGTCCAGTCAATAGAAGCCCTTGTGACCTTTTTTGTACAAAACCAGGTGGTCTTCTCCAAAGACCAGGTGATCTTCTCCACAGAAGACCTGTTGCTCTTCTCCACAGAAGACCTATTGGTCTACTCTTCAGAAGACCTGTTGGTCTTCTCCACAGAAGACCTGCTGGTCTTTTCCACAGAAGACCTGCTGGTCTTTTCCACAGAAGACCTGCTGGTCTTCTCCACAGAAGACCTGCTGGTCTTCTCCACAGAAGACCTGTTGGTCTTCTCCACAGAAGACCTGCTGGTGTTTTCCACAGAAGACCTGTTGGCCTTCTCCACAGAAGACTTTATGGTCTTCTCCATAGAAGTCTTGATGGTCTTCTCCATAGAAGGCTTGCTGATCTCCATAGAAGACTTGATGCTCTTCCCCACAGAAGACCTGGTGGTCTCAAGGTCTTCTCCATAGGAGACCTCGTGGTCCATAGAAGACCACGTGGTGGGGTAGACCATTTGCTCTTTTATGGAGAAAACCAATTGATCTTCTATAAGAAGACCAATTCGTATTCTGTAAGAGGAACAATTGGTCTTCTATAAGATGACCATCTGTTGGTAGAAAACAAGGTATCATATAACTTTTAACGGATCGCAGTTGGTCCAAAGTTTCATATCAACTCCCTGGCTGGTATTTATGTCTGTAGTGATGTGTATAAGTTCATGTGTACCAAAATACGCTCCCCCTCTGTTTACAATGTGCACTCCACGAATTCTTGTGAATATGTGTTCTTAATTTGTCAAAATTACCCCTCTCCGCACGAGCTACTTTAAGACATGTTTCAACAACAGACGCTTGTCTCATAGGGTGTGAGGGTGCATGCCAACAACAAAAATAAAAACAAAATGATTACTTCACCCACTTTATACCAATTAGATTCAATTACTACCCTGTCTTTCATACATACATGTGTACATACATATGTATGTGTTTATCTCTTCACACAGAAAGACGCGCCGCGACACTCACGAAACTTATTCGGAAAAATTTCAAAATAAAATGAAATGTGTGTTTTCTTTGAAATAATTTGAAGTTCTAAAGACAATTGAATGTTTTGTTTTATTTGAGTTTTTTTTTATTTAATTTGTTTGAAATTAGTTGACCCCCCCATCCTAACCTATCATGCTGGTTGATTAAATGTGGCATTTAGATATTTAATTTAGTTTCCACATATATATACACACATATTTATATATATCGAAATAATATAAACGAAAAATGTGAAAAGTTTTCTTTAATGAAAACTTTTCCAAAAAAGAAAAACTTTTTCAATTTACTAATTTGTTGTTTGTTTTTGTTTTGTTTTCTTTGCAGATAACCATAATCGAACGCCAAGTATTCGATTTCCTCGGATACATGTGGGCGCCAATATTTGTTAATTTCTTTCATATTCTATTTATAATATTTGGATTTTATGGAGCATATCATTTTAGAATAAAATATATCATCACAGTAAGTAGTCTTTTTTTTCGGAGTTGTTCTGCCATTGTTACATAGAGATATACATATGTATTTGGTTACATTTACACAGAGTGAATTTTTTAGGAATTGGAAAAAAGGGTACGAAATGAGATTTCGTCTGTGGGCTACTGTTGGTCAGTGGAGGTGAAATACGACTGCATGAACTTCAAGATAATTGAAACGACATCATTTGATAATAGTTACCGAATATAATAAACGTATTGGGTTGAGAATCGTACTAAAAATTATTAAATCTGGAACCATTGGTAATGGAAATGCCATCGGGAAGAGCCAGAACTCTGAACATGGTCTACGATTGATGCTTTTATGTGTAATTCGTAACATTTAATTGGAGAATTCGTAAAGCTTAAATTTGGAGTGTGGAACACTATTTGATGAACAGGATTGAGATTAGATGTGATTTCGGCAAAACGAGAAGGCACCACTGAAACGATGTGAACCAATTCTGTATTCCCAAGAACTTAAATATGCACAAATCGTCTCTTTGTTCCGACATAAAGCAAGTTCAACGCTTTTTATACCCTCCACCATTTGAAAGAAAATTGAAACACGTAAAACCAGTAAAGAAAGTCTTAAAGTGGGGCGGGGCCGACTTTATGATACCCAACACCACTTTGCTAATTTAGTAGAGCTGCGCATAATAATTAAAAGTTTTTATGGGAGAATTCAATCATACACGCTATGATTATAATTTAAAGTTCAAAGAACTAAATATGCCGAAGCATTTGTATCTTTTAAATTCGGACTTGTATTGCCCATTTGGTGCACAATTAATTTGAAATCGGATAAAAATATATATGGGAGCTATATCCAAATCGGAACCGATCTCGATAAAATTTGGCAAAGATTTTTCTGAGCTGTATTTGATATATTTCCCTGAATATCGTGGGTATGCACTCGTTGGAGTGCATATTACGGCTGTGGGTAACAAATATGACAAATCGGATGAACAGTATATATGGGAGCTATAGCTATATCTGAACCGATCTTCACCAAATTTAACATACTAGCTTCTAGACTCAATTCGGTCGTAAGTGCCAAATTTCATCCAATTTCGCCAAATATTAGACGTTTGGTGCACAATCAAAGATAAGTCGGACGAAGTTATATATGAGAGCTATATCCAAATCGGAATCGATCTCGGTAAAATTTGGCAAATGTATTTCTGAGCTGTATTTGATATATTTCCCCAAATAGTGTTGTTACAGGGTGCATATTACGGTTGCGGAGGATAAAAATAGCAAATCGGATGAACAATATATATGGGAGCTATAGCTATATCTGAACCGATTTCGATCAAATTTGACATACTTATTTTCAAATCTAATCTGATCGTACGTGCAAAATTCCACACAATTCGGACTGATATTACACGTTTGGTGCACAATAAAATGCAAATCGGACGAATATATATATGGGAGCTATATCTAAATTTTGACCGATTATCTCTAAATTCAATAGGGTTCGTCTTTGGGCCAAACAAATGATTTGTACAAAATTTCATCTGGATAGGCCAATAAATGCGAACTGTACTTTGTTTACAAAAATACATGGACAGACGGACAGACGGACGGACGGTCATGCATAAATCGACTCAGAATGTGATTCTATGCATATCATCAAAAGAAACTATGGGTCTATCTCGTTTCCTTTTGCCTGTTACAAACAAATGCACAAAAACATAATATCCTGACCACCTTGTGGTGTAGGGCATAAAAATCAGTCAGAAAATACCGCTAAAATAAAAACCGCTATAAAATATACCGATTAAGAAGGGGCAGGAGGTATCGTTATATGGGGGATATACGATATTGTGGACCCATATAGACAATTCTATTTCAGATCGCAAAATACTCAGCAGGAACTCCATGTGTGGATTTTCAGACAATTCCATTGAAAATGTGGCTAAAATCATCAAAACACCGAATCTGTAGAGGGTACCGTCATGTGGGGGATATACGATATCGTCAGGGATTTACATATTTTTGCGAGATCTGATGCTGTCTAATTGGAATATGCGAGTTTTGGAGAAAAAGAGTGACGAAATAATTGACTAACTCACCGAGAATCAACGCCAGACTAAACGGCCAAAGCTAGAATCTTGACATTTTGCACGAGGGTCAATCTTGGCGAGTAGACGTGTGATAAGATTAGATTTTCGGATATGCATACTAAAAGAGTACTAAAAGTTGATAACTTCGTATTGAACAAACGGAATAAGCTAGAATACTGAAATTCGGAATAAGACTCACAAGATAGACGTACCAAAGGGCTTTTTGAAATTCGAACTTTAAGGTTTATGGATAGAGCTAAAAAAATCAAATTTTTTATGAGAATCAAGGTTGGAAACGAAAGTTTGTTATGGTGGTAGTTTTAGAAATGTGTACTAAACCGGCGAACTGTACTAAATGGTACTAACTTCGGAACAGTTTGGTTTAGGTTGAGCAGATTAAGCTGGAATATCGAAATTCTCTCTTGGGGTCCCTTTTGGTGGTAGTTTTGCGACAAAGATGTGACCTTGGAAATGAGAACTTCAATTGCACTAAAAGTACTAAATAGTACTATGTTTGGTACAATTTGGTATTGGGTGAAAAGATAGTGCTTGAAATCTGAAATTTGGTGTTAAGGTCGCTCTTCATGTGTAGCCTGGACATTAGAAGGTGGTTTCGAATATATGTACTATAATTGTATGGTACTATAAGTTGGTATTGGGTGAAAAAAAGATGTAGATATTCTGAAATTTAATATTTAGATTACTGATGCTATCTGTGTTTGAGATTTGGCAGTGGTTTCGGAAATATTTTCTAAATTTGTACGAAAAAGTACTAAATGTTACGAAATTGGGTATTGGGTAAAGGAATAGGGTTGGAGACCTCAAATTTGTTATTGAGGTCGGTGTTGGTATCAGGGATTGAGATTTGGAGTTAGTTTTAGAAATGTGTACTATAATTGTACGAAAAGTACTAAGTGGTACTAAATTGGATATTGGGTGAAGAGAAACTGAGAAATTTTAAATTGCGCTAATAACTGTTGGTGTTTAGAATTGAGATATGGAATGTTTATGTAAATGAGTACTAAAATTATACGAAAAGTACCAAATATTACAAAATTTGGTATTGAGTGGATGTATAGAGCTCGAATGCCGACATTTGATATTAAGGGCTGTTATTGAGATTTGGTGGTGATTTTGTAAACTACTACTACAGTTATTCGACAAGTACATCGTACATCGTAATATTATTATCAAACTTAGTTCGAGTTCGGAGATGGGCAATGTCGGTCCACTCCTTCTGGTGCCTCCCCCAACAAAAGGTCGAAATGTTCAAAGGGCCAAAATTTTGAATATCCATGAATCTCATAAGACGCGAAATTAACATCCGATTCCATTCAGACTTGGCACATTTCAATATCTGTTAAAAAGATAGTAGAGATCTGACCATTTCTTCTGGTACCTCCCCCACATAGGGTTCAAGATGTTTGAAAAACAAAACACTCAAAGAAAGCGGCATTAGCATCCATCTCTCCTCAAATTTCCTACAGACAAATATTTTTTCTAACACAAGATCTGTTGTGAAGATGATACACCTCTGCAAAATCCCTTTTGGCACCTCGCCCGCAAAGGGTCACAATTTTTAATACTTTTATCTGTCATATCGAAATATTTCTCTCAACTAGAAACCTGAGACGAATATTAAATTTATGATTACACATAAAGATTATATAAAATATTCCTAATTTTGTACACCAAAAAGGCCTTCGGCTTATTTTTAAATATTAATAATCCCTTTACCCCTCCGTGGTGGAGGTGAGAAATTTCTCACATGTCTGGAAAAAAGTTTAATAAAAAACTCTACTATTTATCACAATACAAATATTTACCCTATGATATTACAGCTGGCTCGAAATGAATCAAGAGTGACGCCAATTACGTTTGGGGGCCGAAAAAGGGTATCCATTCAGATTACAATAATAGAACAAATAAAACTTCAGATACGCATATTTCCCTATTGACATATTCCTCATTTCTTGTTCTGCTATCCAAACCATGTCCACCACCAAACCCGAACCAAATACAAAAGGGGTTTATTGTGGGTGGTTTTAATTTTATGACCCAAATACAATGTAAACGGAATTGCAACGCCGCTTTCTTCGGTAACGAGAAAAAACAACAACAAAGAATCAATTAGAAACACGCATAAAACAATTGCTGGGCCCCCGTTGAATGACTGACTACCCATTCCGATATCTTATCTCGACGAAAGTTGAATCGATCGAACACCAACAATAGATATTTCTAATCAAACAGAAAAAAATGAAATAAAATAAAAATAAATTGTTTATCGTTCATTGAAATCGAGTGGTAGGGAAATGAGGGAAATAGTTTAGAAATGTCGTGCATACATATATCTGATAACCAGCGCCACCCTCACCCCCATCCCCGAAGACACATTTTATAAATTTATATGCATATTAATAGACCTTAACCGGCTGTACGGCCCATCGTTTACTCCTCTGTGTAAATGATTCATTGATTTACTTGATTTTTATTTAAGTTTTTCTTTTTTGCTTTGGTAAGTTTTTCTTCGTCTTCTTAACCATCGAGTTTTTATTTGTTTGTCTATTTTTATATTTTCAGTATTTAATATGGAATTTTCTGTGGATTGGCTGGAATGCATTTTTAATCTGTTTCTATTTAAATGTCGGGACATTGGATAGAGTAAGTATTGACAGAAAATTATATTTTTGTGGATATAAATTATTTACTATTCGTAAAGGACCTCCTGACGGTCTACTATGCGTAGAGTACCTCTTGAAGGTCTGCTAGAAGACTGCCTGACGGTCTTCTATACGTAGAAGACCACCTGACGGTCTTCTATACGTAGAAGACCTCCTGACGGTCTTCTATACGTAGAGGACCTCCTGACGGTCTTCTATACGTAGAAGACCTTCTGACGGTCTTCTATACGTAGAAGACCTCCTGACGGTCTTCTATACGTAGAAGACCACCTGACGGTCTTCTATACATAGGAGACCTCCTGACGGTCTTCTATACATAGGAGACCTCCTGACGGTCTTCTATACATAGGAGACCTCCTGACGGTCTTCTATACGTAGAAGACCTCCTGACGGTTTTCTATACATAGGATACCTCCTGACGGTCTTTTTTACATAGGAGACCTCCTGACGGTCTTCTATACATAGAAGACCTCCTGACGGTCTTCTATACATAGAAGACCTCCTGACGGTCTTCTATACATAGAAGACCTCCTGACGGTCTTCTATACATAGAAGACCTCCTGACGGTCTTCTATACATAGAAGACCTCCTGACGGTCTTCTATACATAGAAGACCTCCTGACGGTCTTCTATACATAGAAGACCTCCTGACGATCTTCTATACATAGAAGACATCCTGACGGTCTTCTATACATCGAAGACCTCCTGACGGTCTTCTATAGATAGAAGACCTTCTGACTATGCGTAGAAGACATCCTGACGGTCTTCTATATACATAGAAGACATCCTGACGGTATTCTATGTACATAGAAGACCTCCTGACGGTCTTCTATACGTAGAAGACCTCCTGACGGTCTTCTATACGTAGAAGACCTCCTGACGGTCTTCTATACGTAGAAGACCTCCTGACGGTCTTCTATACGTAGAAGACCTCCTGACGGTCTTCTATACGTAGAAGACCTCCTGACGGTCTTCTATACGTAGAAGATCTCCTGACGGTCTTCTATACGTAGAAGACCTCCTGACGGTCTTCTATACATAGGAGACCTCCTGACGGTCTTCTATACATAGGAGACCTCCTGACGGTCTTCTATACATAGGAGACCTCCTGACGGTCTTCTATACATAGGAGACCTCCTGACGGTCTTCTATACATAGGAGACCTCCTGACGGTCTTCTATACATAGGAGACCTCCTGACGGTCTTCTATACATAGGAGACCTCCTGACGGTCTTCTATACATAGGAGACCTCCTGACGGTCTTCTATACATAGGAGACCTCCTGACGGTCTTCTATACATAGGAGACCTCCTGACGGTCTTCTATACATAGGAGACCTCCTGACGGTCTTCTATACATAGGAGACCTCCTGACGGTCTTCTATACATAGGAGACCTCCTGACGGTCTTCTATACATAGGAGACCTCCTGACGGTCTTCTATACATAGGAGACCTCCTGACGGTCTTCTATACATAGGAGACCTCCTGACGGTCTTCTATACATAGGAGACCTCCTGACGGTCTTCTATACATAGGAGACCTCCTGACGGTCTTCTATACATAGGAGACCTCCTGACGGTCTTTTATACATAGAAGGCCTCCTGACGGTCTTCTATACGTAGAAGACCTTCTGACGATCTTCTATTCGTAGAAGACCTCTGTAGAAGAGCTGCAGATTTTCTGCTATAGAACCGCATTTTTCAAATTTATTATATTTCTGGCTTTTAATTTGACATTAATTGTATCCTCTTTTTTCCTTCTTCTCCCTTTTCAGGATAGCGATTTACTGAATTTGGGTACCGGTAGTGTATCCTGGTTCGAGGTGAATGGCTATGGCTGTAAACCAACGTACAATACAAATATTACCTCAGAGGACCCGTTTCGTCCCATACGACCGGAACGAGTGGACGATTGTCTGTTGACCTATGACATTGTTGAGGTTGTCCACTCGGGAGTGCAGTGTATATTAGCGGTAATTGCCACACAACAAATAAATCGAATAAAAATATTTCAATTAACAAATGTTTTCCTTTTTTACAGTTCTTTGGTATTTTGGGAGCGATTTTGATCAGCTACATATTCCTAGATGAAGATGACAGATGTAAGTTTTCAATTCAAAATTTTCTTTTTTTCCATTATTTTATTCTCTGTATTTTTATTCCAAATTTAATATGAAACAAGTAAAGTTTGGTTCCATTGAAATAATGAATAGTCATCTGGGCCGGCGTTTTTTTCCTTCCTCATGACTTTCTCCTGCCCGTCATCATCCAATAGTTTTGTTTTAAAATTCCTCGTGTCATTATTATGGCAAATGTCAAGTTGTTGTTTGGTTTTTTATTTTGATAATGATGTAAGCCATTCAAATGTGACATTCATGTTTTCTCTTCCTCCGTTTTTTTGGTTGATGAAATGTGTTTGTCAACCCTTAAGTTATTTTGTTTTAACTTGCCCCTCCCATCGCTGCCTGCCCTTCCGTTCTTGCCATGAACGCTAGTTTATATACTTCTGGTGTGTGTGTGTGCATGACACCCAGAGCGAGTGCAAACCATAGAAAAGTCAAGGACTTATTGTGTGGCTGACTAACTGACTGCCTGGCTGGATGCCTTTTTTTCTGCTCATTGTACTCTTCGAAAAGTTCACTTGTTCGCAGTTTGATGTGGTTTTTGTTTTAGTTGCAAAATAATATGTAAAAAAAAATGAAGAAAAAAAAACGAAAACGTTCGTACATAAGTTCATATACATGTTATGCATGCTTGTGATATCACAGTCTGAACCTCAAACAATCGACCATATGCCGTTTAGCTCGTCTCTGTTTTTCTTCCTCTTCTTTTTCTTTTCTATTTTATATCATTTGGCTAAATATTGACATTCGAGCTATGGGGGAAGAAATTGCTATTTAAATACAGTGGTTCCGTTTCAAGTAGTTGACTTTTTTGTAACGTGTGGTGCATACTTTAAGGCGCTTTAATGGCAATTTGTATGAACTATCATTATTATAATTGAAGGTGCGTTAAATGTTGCACTTGATTTTAAGGATTGAAGTAATTTAGGTATTATTCAGCATCTGTTTCTTGGGCTTTAAACATTGCAAAAGGCACACACATTCGAAGCCACAACCTTGATCAACACATCCTGAATCTCGGTGGCCTTTCCGTTAATGTGGTAGGTGTTCTGTTGTTTCCTTTAAGGCTATATACAGCGAGTAATGAACTAGACTGTCCAACATTTATAGGTAGGCAATAAATAGTTCTAGTCCATTAATGCATGGAATTAGATTGCCCAACTCTAATGTTTCGAACAAATTATTTAGAAAATATGGCTATATATTTTTATGGACAACATTTATATGTTTTCTATACCCTCCACCATACATAGTATGGAGGGTATATTAAGTTCGTCATTCCGTTTGCAACTCATCGAAATAATCATTTTAGACCCAACAAAGTATATATATTCTTGATCAGCGTAAAATTCTAAGACGACCTAGCCCTGTCCGTCCGTCTATCCGTCTATTGTAATCACGCTACAGTCTAAACAAATTAAGATAGGAAGCTAAAATGTTGCATTGATCTCTCTTTTGTCTGCAGGAAGGTCAAGTTCGAAGATGGGCTATATCGGTCCACGATATCGTATATCCCCCATATAATGGTACCCCCGATATTCTGTATTTTGATAACTTTACCCACATTTTTCAACGGAAGTAATTGAAAATCCACACAAGGAGTTCCTTGTGGGTACTTTATACCTCGGCAGAGAATTATCTATATAGGTCCACGATATCGAATATCCCCCATATAACGGTACCCCCGATATCGGTATTTTGATGATTTCAGCCACATTTTTCAACGGAATGGTCCGAAATTGTACACAAGGGGTTCTTTGTGAGCACTTTACCCACCGACAGAGAATTTTCCATATAGATTAACGATATCGTATATCACCCATATAACGGTACCCCGTTTTGATGATTTTACCCACATTTTTCAACGAAATTATCTGAAATCCACACAAGGAGTTCCTTGTGAGTACTTTACACCCAGACATTGATATGTCTTAATAGGTCTACAATATCATTTATCCCCCCATATATCGGGGGGATAGATATTTTAAGGATTTTAAAAAAAATTTTAATGGATTTTATTTTTTTGAAAATTTGTTAATTCGTTCCAAATGGTGGAGGGTATTCAAAGTTCCGGCCCGGCCGAACTTACTGCTTTTTTACTTGTTTTTTTTTTTTAATTTTATTGAATGAAAGCAAAAAATGTCGGAAATAGCATCAAATTTTAGAAAAAGTTTAGATTTTTTGATCATTTTTGGCACGAATTATGCCCAATAAAAACCGTTAAACGCCGCCCAAATGTTGCTCTGCTGTATTTTGTCCATTCCCGGCGAAGCGCTTGCTTGAGGTGATCGACCATTTGGTATTTTCTGGTGCCAACCTTGCTTTCCAAAATACTCCAGACACAGTAGTCCAATGGATTGGTATCCAGATTTTGGTGGCCATTGTGCGTTGAAAATGAAGCGAGGAACCTCAATTTGTAACCATTCTTGGGTGGCGCGTGCTGAGTGCAATGTTGCTGAGTCCTGTTGGAATGTCCAAGGACTGCGGCCAAAATGTTTGCGTGTCCAAGGCTTTAATACACCCTCCAGAATATTTTCGCCATTACACGGCATTTATTTTGATGCCACGATCTATTAATACGAGCGGAGTGAGGCCCACACCATCAACATGGCACACACGATCATTTTGTTTGTTACAACCTGCTGGACATCAAATGTTTTCTCATCAGAGAAACCCAATTTCGACAGTTCACCACCTTCGGCCAAGCGAAGCAACTCTTTAGCTCTTTTGAGTCTATTTTCTTTCTGTTGCGGTGTAAGTTCATACACTTTTTGGAATTTCAATGGCTTTACCCCGATCTCATTTTTTAATATTTGCCTAATGGAATGTTGCGATATGTTCAGCTCACGAGCCATTTTTCGGTAACTGCGACGCGGGTTTCGATCAAGTCGCTTCTTTACTTTTCGAACCATTTCTCCTGATGTTGCTGTTTTATTCCGTCCGCTACCAGTATCACGGTAACGAGGAATGGTACGAGACACAAAAGATTTATTCACATTTAATTGGTGGAGTGCTCTAACGATAGCCACTTGTTGTTTTCTAGCCAAGTATAAAGAAATCACACTATCACGCTTGAATTTCATCACAATTAAATTTTTTTCTTGAAAATTCTCACCAAAATGCTTTTGTACGCTTGTAAACAATTTCTTCTTCGAATTTTTTCTAATCCCCATTCAAGGTCTTCTATATGTTTTCTTTTGATACCACTGTTTCCCCACTCCCCCTCAATCTATTTGCCCCTCACATTATGTAAAATAATATTGCAATAATATTCAGCTGTGCATTCCTTGCATTGACGATGATTGGCAGTTTATATTTTAGAAAGTAGCGGGGAATATAAAAATAAGAACCATAAAGACGACATGCATGCATTCCAGGTGGCTGATTTGCAATTGCGATTCCTTGATGTATAACAACAAAAACATCAGCTGCAACAACATAACCATTAGGAAACATTGTCTGAAAGTATCCTTTATTGCAAGTTATCTCTTTTTGTTTGTTTTGTTTTCCTATCAATGTTATCATTATTGTTATTGCTTTGTTGTCATTGTCGTTGCCTATTGAGCTTTTGTGTCATTCTGACGTCCGACTGTCTCCTCTAACGTTCTGGCAGGCTGTTATGCTAACAAAACATAGCCAGGCGAACGGAAATGAATTTCCTATTTCCCTTTTTTTTGGTTGACAATATCAAATGTTGATTCCGTTGGGGCTTACCTTGACATGATTGTTTGTTTGAATGGTTGGCTGGTTGACTGGGTGGCTTGTATCCTCCTTCCCTACAGATTTTATGGTCTTTGCTGTTTGTTGTTTCCTTCTCTTTCTGCTTTCCAGCCGCTGATGATGCCAATAGACTTTCTAGCCAGCCAATGTGGTCTCTGCTCAATTTGTGGTTTTTGCAAGAAAGTTTGAAGGAAGTGGGCGGGAAGGAGATAGTTGTTTCGGAGACCTGATTTCCCGACCATAACTTGTGTTTGTGTGTATTTTTTATTCGTTATTTCCTTGAGATAAATTAAAGAATAACTAATGGCAAGTAAAACAAAAGATAACTGATTTGTTGTCAATGGTTGGGAGGCGGGAGGAGATATGCATAATGGAGGCACTCAATGGATAACTAGGTCAGGGGTTTTAGATACACTATATATTGGTTATTAATAAGGAGATTTATTGATCTTCGAAGGGAATATTGAATAATAATCCATTAGAAGATCAATTAGCCTTTAATAAGAAAATATATTGGATTTTTATAAGAATACCTGTTGGTCTTCTATAGGAAGACCTCTTTGTCCTCTATAGGAAGACCTCTTGGTCCTCTATAGGAAGACCTCTTGGTCCTCTATAGGAAGACCTCTTGGTCTTCTATAGGCAGACCTCTTGGTCTTCTATAGGAAGACCTTTTTGTCGTCTATATGCAGGCCTCTTGGTCTTCTATAGGAAGACCTCTTGGTCTTCTATAGGAAGACCTCTTGGTCTTCTATATGAAGACCTCTTGGTCTTCTATATGAAGACCTTTTGGTCTTCTATATGAAGACCGTTTGGTCTTCTAGCGGAAGACCTGGGTCTTCTATAGGAAGTCCTCATGGTCTTCTATAGGAAGACATCTTGGTCTTCTTGATCTGTGAGAAGACTTCTTGGAATTCTATGAAAAGTCTTCTTGATTTTCAATGGGAAGACCTTTTAGTCTTCTATAGGAAGACCTGTTGCTCTTCTCTAGGAAGACCTGTTGCTCTTCTCTAGGAAGACCTTTTGCTCTTCTCTAGAAAGACATCTTGGTCTTCTATGAGAAGACCTCTTGGTCTGCCATGAGAAGACCTCTTGGACTTCTATGAGGAGACCTCTTGGACTTCTATGAGAAGACCTCTTGGTCTTCTATCGGAAGACCTCTTGGTCTTTTATGAGAAGACCTCTTGGTCTTTTATGAGAAGACCTCTTGACCTTCTATGAGAAAACCTCTTGACCTTCCATGACAATATCTCTTAGTC